TGTGCGCGTGTGTGTGTGTGTGCGCGTGTGTGTGTGTGTGCGCGTGTATGCGTGTGTGTGTGTGCGCATGTGTGCGTGTGTATATGTATATACATGTATGTATGGAGACAATGAAGGCAGCAAGTTATCCACAAGACAATTTAGTAATGACCTTTAAAAAGTATCAAACCTATAGCTGAAATGATAAAATGTGCAATGCAGCAAATCTAATTGCCTAACCCCTTCAAAGAAACTGGATGGGGCAAATGGACTCTCAATGTACTTCATGAGTTTGTTAACTTTCTTTCGTTATTTGTGTGTTGTCTCTTTTCTTTGGCCAGCGACTACCTGGGAAATTACACCATGTGGGATGCCTGCATTGATCCGCCCAAAATTGTCACTTGGCACGTCACCTTGTTCTCTCTCCTGTTGGTGCTAAGTGTGGTTCAGATCGTTATTTGTGCCATCCAAGCTGTCAATGGTCTGATTGGATTTCTCTGTGGGGAGTGCAGCTGCTGTGGCTCAGGTAGTTACCATAATTGTATTGTTACTTTATCTTATCGCACGCTGACCCATTTCTTGCCAAACTAATCTATGTACTGTATAGATAGCAATCAAATAGGATAAAGCAGCTATGGCAAATATCTAGGACAGTCATGCTACTGAATACATATGTACTTAGGAGGTAAAGACACTTAAATCCTTATTTGCCTTCCGTGCAGGGAGGATCTGATCTGGTTGTGTTGGAAACAGCTGGGTTGCAGTCATACTGTATGAGTATGAGTTATTTATTGCTACATTTATCCAGAAAGATACAGTGAAAAGTGTTTTGTTGCCACTGCCACTTCTATCCAATAGTCAACGAGCACTCACATAATCTCATGCCCGCTGTTAAAAAGAGAGCTAAACCTGTTTGAAGTGAACAGTTAAAGCCATCGTCGTTAAAAGCAACAGGTAAAAGAAGCATCATAGGAGCAGAAAGGCTGACGTTTCAGTCCTAGACCCTTCATCAGAAATGGATTTGCATTTCTGATGGAGGTTCTAGGCCTGAAACGTCAGCCTTTCTGCTCCTATGATGCTGCTTAGCCTGCTGTGTTCATCCAGCTCTGCATCTTGTTGTCCCAGATTCTCCAGCATCTGCAGTTCCTACTATCTCAGGTAAAAGAAGCTCAGGGAAGCTAGTTAACCTGTTCATTGCCGACATCATGTGGCATAGTAAAATCCGTAATAATTTCTGGTTTAGTACGGGCGAAACAAAAGGCAGGCACGTGCTGGATGGCACATTGCACACGATAGCAAGGAGCAGAGTGCACCCTGAGGCTAGCCTTCATGTCTGATGCAATTTGGCCAAGTCATCATAGTCTTACCAGACAACAGGTCTCACATTACAGAAAGAGAGAGGGAGGTGGTTTAACCCGTGGTCACCACTTCTCAGGCGAGGGGAGAGGTTGAGAAGGAGAGTCCTCCATGGTAGCCCTTGGCTGGTATTGGAATTAAACCCACACCGTTGGCACCACCCAGCATTGCAATCCAGCCAACTGAGCTAACCGAATTACAATGTATTGTGTAGACAAATCAGTGTCTCACTATAGATTGGGCTAGTGTGTCCGTAGCTCGTGGATTCATGAGCCACTATTGGAATGTTCCTTTACTTCTGAAACAAAGACAACTGTAGGACAAGGGAGGCTTGATTTCTTTCCAACTGGCCAAGTTTTTTGCACATCTGCGGAGGGGAAAGGCCTCTTTCGAAAAAATGATCTCAAATCACTTTAGCTCCATCCTGTAGAAGCCTTTCTACAAAATGTGCCACATTCGGGTGGACAAACATGACACCCATCCTGTTTCCAGGCCCTTGCCTTACCCTCGCTGTAACAGGCTGTTCAGATGTGCAGGAATTTCTTGGGCTTTGTGTCAAAACTCCATTGGAGATTTTGGTGAGAAATTGGCAGGATCCCTACTGAAATGGCAACAAAAAGGAAGGGTTTGCATTTATACAGTGCTTTCTCTAAAGCTGAGGGAAAAGTTTATTCTTTATGGGCAAATAATCCTTAAAGATAGCAGGAACTATCAGGCAAATAATCCTTAAAGATGTTGTGTATAGATGGATTTAGGTACTTGATGAAAGGAGCAGGGGAGAAAGAGGACAATTGTTTGATGCAGTGAGTGGAATTCACTGCCGAAAGAGCAGCAAAGGCTAGTTCAAAAGTAACTTTCAAAAGGGACTTGGATGCAGCTTGAAAATTTAGCAAAATATTTACAGGGCTGTTGGGAAATATCTGGTTAGCGGAAATAGTTTTTGATAGTCCTGTGGAAGAGCTGGCACAGGCATGAGGAGCCGAATGGCCTCACACTGTGCTACTTGATTCAATTAAGCTTTCAGGATGCAGTACCAAACATTTGCTTTACAAGAAAAAAGAATCAATGCAGAAATGTGTTGTGTTCATAAATTGAGGTAACCGATTTAATCTGATCATAATTACTGTCCCCGCGGCATTGGAAAAAGGGGATAGAATTTCCTCAGCTCCCTCCCCAGTTTCTGTTGGATCCGGACTGGGTGTGGGTGGAAACTTGCTCTCCTGGGTCCACTTCTCCCCACGATTACCTTTCTCCATGGGTGAATCCAGGTGCCCTACATGTGCCTGCCCAAAAGCTGCACGTTTACGGTTTAAATTAAAATGTGGCCTCTGTATTTCCACAAAGAACATGAGACTAAGGGATAGAAACTCATCTCAGTCAGGGGCTTTGAGTGGGTATAATCACTCCAACCACAGAATCACAGAAATGTTATACTGTGTAGATGGAAGCCATTCGGCCCATTGTGTCTGCACTGACTCTTCAAATGAGCATCATGATCTCATGTCAGTCTCCTGTTTTCTCCCCATACCCTCGCAGACAATCCACATAACCATCCAATGCTTGATATAACAAGGTGTAGAGCTGGATGAACTCAGCAGGCCAAGCAGCATCAGAGGAGCAGGAAAACTGACGTTTCGGGTCTAGAAAGGTCTAGATCCAAAACATCAGCTTTCCTGCTCCTCTGATGCTGCTTGGCCTGCTGTGTTCATCCAGCA